AAATTAGAATAATAATAGTAGAATATTAGTAATAATAAATCGGGTCTTTGTAATTGAGAAGAATATTGAATTGAGTTTAAAGAAGGAAATGGAGAAAATAAGGGAATAGAAATAAAGGAGACGTGAAATGCGCAAACAGTCTAATAGGCGTGTTTATGAACACAGAACAAGAATATACGACCATGTCTGTACCGTTAAATAAGTAACAAAAAATAATTAGGAAAAAATAACTTATAATTGCAGTAAGATATGACAATAGAAGTGTTTGTGCAGTCATAGTTTGGAGTGATGTGATGAAAGTCTCAATTGAGTGAAAAGAATAATGAAATATCAATATGTATGAGTCATATATGCATAGTGAAGATAAAACGGGTCTGAGAAGTTAATTTAAGTGTAACACAAGTTATTGTCTTAATTATAAACTTCGCAATCTTAAGAATATTTATTTAGAGCGAAAGAAGAGAGAAAAGAAGTGAACACCTAGTGGAAAGCTTCACCCATGATAAGAATAATAATTGCATAATGAATATCAACCTCAAAAGGAAGCCAACAATTTAGAAAAATAAAATAAAAATCCTTTAATGCACTCGGATGAATACATTTAGATTTATGTAATAGTATACAGAGTGAAACCGGATATTAGTATAAATATTTGTGCAATAATAATTAAGAATGATGCTATTAGTAGTATTACTAAATTCTATCACGGTCAAGAAAAAATGAGGTTGAGAAAATCTCCCCGTAACTAAATAAACCGTATCAAACTAACTGGAACACTAGTTGGAATTCTTTTCCATGATAATACTTTTGTTCTTTCAGTTAGCCTACTAATACAGATGCAATTGGAATTCAACTCATATGGACAACTTGCCGGCATAATCGTTATTTGATTTCATAATCTAAACCAAAACTTATACCAATATTAACATTTCTACAATATTGATTACTTTAATATTTCTAAACACAACATACTTACTACCTATACGTTAAATTATTACCCAATGGCTATTAACACTCATCGTTTTATTATTATCATTGTAATCCCGTTTTTTCTAGCTCAAATAATCTTCGCCGAAATCTTCATTTCAAGCATGTTAAGCATGAAGGCAGATATTTTAAAATTATTACATGTATTTCCCGACCAGATGCTGCCGCCTTCTTTTTGATTTATCTTTCAGCTTACCAATACCCGGAGGATTCTTATTATCTTTGGTAACCTCCGGCGCGCGACGATCCCATCCAATTTGGTATCGAACCAACATCACGTTGATTCTGGTGGGAGAGTAGTGTAGTGGCATTGGACCATAACCACACAATCTTCAAAGCTGAACACAAGACTACTCAGAAAATAGATATTCAACATTTAACGCGGAGAAATACCTAACAATGGAGAAGGCGCGAATAATGAATGGAATGAACTGGAGTTGATCGGATGGCATGACTCGGCCATGCAGGCGTGGTCTCTGCTGAATGTTACCTTATATCTTCTATTCATATTAAATATATTGTTCCTTCTCTAGCCTAAGCTTGTTCTTCATCATGTATTGGTAGTTGTTACGATACAGTGAGTTGGTGTAGACGATTATGTGACTTCCACGTAAGATCTTATAGATTAGGCAGTTATATCATGACGAATCTACAATTTTAGGATTAGGTCTATTATTAGAGCAGTACTAATATCATAGTAGACCATAATTCTACAGGTCCACTTTAAAATAATTGTAAAATTTTAGAGGATCTATCACCAGGTAAATCGCTTACATAAAGTGGCTGTGCTACTTTCACGGAGATTTTAAGGAGTTGTACCTTGTTACAAGGAATTGCCAAAAATGCTCCTGTGACATGCCGTATGGATGTCTTTAGCGACTGCCACTTATTATTCAGCACATATATAAACGGTTCTCACAAGGAATTGAAAAAATGTATATTGTAATACCTGTGTTGTTGGGAGTAAGGAAGTTTCTTGTTAATAATTACAGAGGGTTGAACTAAGAATGCAAATAAATCGAATAATTTCGGATTGATATCTAGTGAAAAAAACACAATTTATGAAGAATGTTAAAACACAAGATAAGAATCCCACCTAAATTCTTATAAATGCAAAACCTGTGAAAAGACGGCATTTTTAGGATATTTCGCCAAAAAATTGTATGATTAAGGATTATTTCAGATCATTCTGTTGAAGACACATGGATCAACGCAATATGACTTTACTTTTGTTTTTGTGAATAATTAGCGTTTTGTTTTTTGTTTCTGAATGTGAACGTTTTTCGAATGGTACGTTACTTCGACTTGAAACTTAGTAACAGTGACCACTTGGAACATTTTGGAGATTTTGATGTTTTTAAAATAGGCCGTTATCTGAACGTGCCTTGATGTGTTAGGCTTTTCTGGAACCTTCGCTTCCATGATCTATGGGGTTTTACCTACGCAAAGTGTCACTCAGCCTTTTTCAAAATGGCATTAAATGAGATTTCATTGTTCTCAGTTACAGAGAAATTTTACGGGAAACTACAGTATTAACTCTGCAAAAACAGTCCGATTATAATTTTTTGGTGATAAATGATGTGTCGGTGTGCTTGTGTGACAGTAATTAATTTTGAACTATAGTTCAAGTTTTAGCTGTGATTCATAAATAACCTATGAAATACGTAAACATCTAATAACCAATAGTGAGTAGTTCAAAAGAATCGAGAAGAGTCTACAGAACGTATTTATTGAGTAGAATTTAAGGCATTTTACTTTGGTGATATTTCAAAACTTACCTAGTTATAGAGGAATCCAAACCACAGTCTCTCAGTTTGAAGGTGAATGCCTTTACTATTAAATCACCATGTTAGTAATGGGAACTTATCAAAGTGAGATTGCAGTTTTTTTCATGAAAATGTCCTACATACAATTGGAAATTACAATGTAGTCACCACCGACATGTTTCCTCTGCCACATCTAATAAAGGTTCAAGACAGTGAGTTAGATTATTTTTATAATGTGCCTTTACTCATAATATATCAATGCGTGTTCATTGAGCAAAACTGCTCACTCCTAGACTATCAAAAACAGACCACGTTTCTGAGTTTAATATCGATTCTCAGCATCTTTTGGTAGTACTGGACAAGAAACTCGTCTGAAATGAATATGCAGTTTCTCTTAAGCCTAAGAATTGGATTCTCTAAAGCATCTGACTAGACGCTAATTTCAACTTTGGCCAAAAATTCTTCAAACCTCAGCATTGATTAGTCACCTCTAGATATGAGCAGTATTGTGGAAACGACTTCGGGTGTAAACTGTTCGTTCTCAAACCTGCTCAGTTCAATGGAACCATTTTCGGTAAAGGTAAAGCAGAACTTTGGCCACAACACTTGACTCCTGTCTTTTTATTAGTTTCGTACCATGACGGTACTTAACTAACAGAAATCCGTCTGTTTCACTACACTTAAATTGATCTAAGAAACTTCCATTTTCACAGCTTCGCGTGGATGACAACTTCCGGAATGTTCGCTATAGCTTACCCCCAAGATTGGGTGGGGTAGTTACAGTGATTGTCAACAGATACAGGCATATACTGTGTTACTTGTTGTCGGCATCGTTTATTGTCTGTAATCTGCATTAATTTTGTGCAGGTGTACATGAAATTGTAATATCTTATTTCATCTGACTGTCTGAACATGTGAAGCATTTGTATAGTCATATTCAAATCGTAATACTTCCTTAAAGATATCACCGATTTCTTTATCTTTTGTGTTTTTCAACCTAGCTTTCAGAAATACCATGTTGGGACGTAAATTCTTCACGTTTTTTCTCCGTCCATTGCTTTATCGCATAACACGAAAATATGGGACACTCAGCGCAACAACCTGTTGCTTTATGTATCCGATAAAACTATCTCATATTTCTACTGAAACTATAATGACGAATTATCAATATATTGAATATCCCTTATTATCTTCATTACAATTACAAATAGACTCTACAATCAGTTTTATAAATCAACTTCTTAAAGAATTTCATACACTTCTAGTTAATTTAGAGCAAATAGCTATTCAGTATGGTGAATTACAATTATCTTACATGAATTCAGACGAGCAAAATGATGAATTATTATTAGAGCTACGTTCACAATGGTCTATACTTACGCATAAACTTGATAATATGGAAATAATTGTACGTTCTTCTGTAAATATTCTACAAAATTCATTAGAAACTGCATTTTTGTACGAAGAATATATTAAGACAACACCTACTAAACACAAACATTTACCCAATGAAACTTTATTAACACAAGCTGGATTAACTTTTCATACAATAGAAAAAGAATTTGATGATCTTAAAAGTAAACGAAGAGATATTGTTAAATTATGGTCAACCCAGATAGCTGAAAATATTAAACGGTTTGGTAATTCGTAAATAATCTTTATTTCCATTAATTTATTAATTTGTTTATGCCTGATTCTATTTTGTTGAAATAAAAAATCGATTAAATATAATTCTTTCTTTCTTTATTAAATTTTTCATGTCGGGTGTGAATTTTTTAAAAACATGGTGGTGTTTAATTATTATATTACTATTTGAACTTTAGTAGTTGTGATTAATTAAAAGTTGTGGGTTGCTAATGTTCCACTCTCAATCTAAGGATTCATTTTATGGACAAAAATCACCCTCAGATTACAGTTTCATGAGATCGGCTTCAGCCATTTTGGTTAGGTGTTCAACTAATACATGGTTCTGTTTAATTGTGTAATGCATACACAAGATTTTGGATAATCGTTGGAATCTTGTCGCTAAATTATAGTTTTGGCCAATAATTTGTGTAGATCTTTTGGTATGAATATTACACTTTTAAAATCTATCGTGACAATTTTATAATTTTTTTCTTTTTAACATAATGATTTTAGTTACGAAAATAGCATAACTTATAAGATGGCGATCATTTGTTCAGTGTCCTTAATATTTTTCAGTTTGTTCAGTTTAGCCTTTTTTTGTCTACTTGTTGTTAGATTTCTATGATACAACTTGAAGCACTACCAAAGGTACAACAAAATCATCTTCAATGGGATGAAAGTATTTTGAACAAAATTAAATGTAGTGTTGATGGTTTATATGAGTTAAAAAATAAATTTTTAAATGAATGGGCTGATAAATTTGGTATATTAGACGATTCAGCAAGCGAAGTTTGGATGAAACCTGATAATATTCATTCAATGATTATGGAGTCTTGTGAATTGAATAAAAACAAGAATGAGATAACACAATCAAAATTTGAAGACACAATATCCATATTCAAAGAATATGAGTCAGTTTTTATGTATGCACCTGTACTAGACAAGGCGGAATTCTGTTATCAGTATGGTAAAGTGAGTTTTTGTCCTAAATGATGTGATAATGTTCTTTCAGTGATGACAAGCTATAAAACGGATTAAATCGTTATATCGAAGCAAATCACAGATGATACATATGTGACCACAAAGACTGGTCAAAATCCAGTCCTGAATATCGACAACGGGTTAATTTAAACCCTTAGTAATAATGACATAAACATCATACCCATTGAACAATTTGGCTGCTATTTTGTTTCACTAGCTCAATGGATAACGCGTTAGGCGTTTGAATTGGAAGATGTTGGGTTTGAGTCTCAATGTAAATATTGACACTGGGATATGGCTGGTACATTCAGCTATGATGATTCTCAAATAAGATAAAACACGCTTCCCCAATTCCACTGCTAACCACAATTAATCTATTCTCTGAAACATGATGGGATCAATGAAATATGATTGCACACGTTGAGTTCAAGAAAAAAAGGCAAAGAAAAGGCAATACCGTCAAAAAAGTATTGATTATAACATAAAACAACATACTGATATTCCTAGGATTGTGTCGAACATTCTTGGATCTATCTGCAATAAATTTATAGAATTGTCAGGTTAATTATTCTATATATATATACAATATTCTAGTGTTAGAAACTACTAACATTGAAGTCGTACTGTGAGTATGAACACTGAGACTAAAATCCATTTAACTGGTCAATTCCATGTGGGATTGAACAGATACGTTAGATTCTCACGTTAACCATTACTCAAATTACATTAAAATTGGGGTTACTTTAACTCAAGTCAGATAGTAGCTATCGTCAAAATCCAGGAAATGTGTTTTATCCCGTTTGAAATTCGTCACACCGGGATATACATATGTCCTAGTGTTGTTGGTGTTCACACTGAGACTATAAACAAGTGCCTTTCTCTTTAAGTGCCCAGTCATTATCCACTGAGATACTAAATGCATATAGCTACTAGCTTGTGCAACTAATGAGGTTCATTTGTGACGATTTCTGTTTTAACGTCGTTGATCGGATGATCGATTCTACTAGTATTAACTATCCAATTTTAGTAAAAACTTAGTTGTACATGGCAGTATCGAGACGATATGTTCAGAATACGCATATACCAGGTACTACTCAACTGTAGCTGTTATCTCGATGTAAAAGTTGAGCTCGCCTTTCTTGATGACTTGAGTGAGTTATATTGTTTAGAACAAATGTTCATCTAGGTCCCACCGTGCCAGGTAGGTTGGTTAGAGGACGGTTAGACTAGAAGCAGCAACTTGAGGTCCGATAGCGAAGTTGTACTGCTGACTGTAGAGGGGTATGACATCGGTAAGATACTTTTCTTGGAAAAGCGGCATCTGCAACGATGGTGCCTTTTGACAAAGGAAAGAAGAGATTGGAGAAGATCGACCCTAAGAATGTCAGAACTCACTCTACCTTACAGATTTCCGTCACTCCCGGTGGTAATGCCTTCTGAAGTGCGGAGCTAACACCAAAAACGTCCCGCGACTGCCTTCAAGCAGTTGTTTCTTGAATTATACAGTCACACATTAACGTTCATTGGATTAATTAGTTTGATTTTCGTTACTGTAAGCGGGCTAGGAACATTTAATTGTTAGTGTGTATATTAATTGTATACAGAACTGATTGTTCTGATTAAAATGCTATAGATATTTTTTATTAAGCTGAGAAATTCGAATGTTAAGTTTTCTTACTAATAGGTAGTTTTGATAGAACAGTAAGAAGACGGAGTTAATCTGATCTCATTGTTCTATCGAAATTTATACAAGGGACTAATTCATTTAACAGGTAGTTTTAATCAGTGATCACAGTAATGGGAGTTCTTAATCACTGGATCTGAAGACCTTTTGCTTTAGAGACTACTGGAATGGAAGATAGTCAGTCAGTCAATTATCAGCAACGTAGAACCTAGGACATGTTCATCAATCCAAGTTATCAGAGCATTTCAGCACAATAAGAGGTGATAGTATCGAGATATTACCAAATTGGTAGAAGTAGGTATAGTATCAGTGATAGTAAAAACAATTGGATATATATAGTTCACAAAGAATGAATCCATGGAATGACAATTATAAAGTGATTTTCAAACTCAAAAATCTAAGAGAAGACAGAAAATGAATGGATATATGCTATTTTAACTGATTCTAAGACATTTTCTCCAACGACTTCAAATATTGCCAGTCTGGACCTATCGACAGTGCGCAGAATAACAATCAATCACTTCATGGACTGTTGCCACGTTTTGCTGTGGCCGTTCCTAGTCTTCTTTAGAATTAATACTTCTCTACTCCTACCAACATCGGTCGTTGAGGTGTTTTTGCGGCAGTTGATGATACGTAATACACAGTTTATCTACCTTAATCCATGAATATTTACAACCTCAACTGACAGTATATATTATGAATTAAGTCCAACCTGACAATCTTTGCTTTACCTGTTGCGCCAATACGAACAATTCTGGGTCTTGTCATCTAAAGTATATGACTAAGGGTCATGGTAATCGTACGCATCCTAACCAGGTAGTTTGCATCTATCTACATGTCTCACTCCAACAATCACTTTCTTTATGGACTGATGCAACGTCTTGACTTGGCTTACTCCTAGCTTTCTTCCTGATGGAATCGCCCGTCAAGATAGGCTGTGGTTAGTTGATTCCTAATTTCCTCCTTTATTTTGTTAATATGTTGGTTGTGACAACAATTACTTTCTTCTCAGGTTTCACACCGATTAAAATTAAAATAGTCAATGAAAACTTTCGTACGTCCATTAAAGTTTATCAGTTAAATACACTTTCATATAACAGACTGACCATAAACCATACTTTATTTTATGTGGACTAACAGTTTTCTACTTGACTATCAGAGATTTCGGAAAGCAGATCTATTGGAACCAGTGAAATGTTCATGCTTTTTTGACCATATTTTTTATTCATATGATTTTTAATTATTCAATATTTATTTATTAACTCAGTTCTATAGTAATATTGCAGTTAAAGAATACTCTAAATGTTTTATTTCCTAGCACAATTACACAAATTCAAATCCTTATATTATTTGTCAACTTAGTAACAACCTAGTAATAGTTCATTTGTATTGGTAGTTTGAGTTTTCCCACTGATGTTTAGGACTCCAGTTGATTGGTCTCTTTTTGGTATGTATGAAACTTGTGCGGATTGCCTTGACTGATCAGTTGCAGTTCTAAACATCGATCCGAAGATTCGAACAACCAATATAAATGAACTAAACTTCACTTCATTGCATAAGCCAGTGGCTATCTGAACTCAGTAGCTAAGTAGGTAACTCGATGGCATTGGAAGCGAACGATATTGGCTTTGAATTCGAGAGTGAACATCAACTCTGGGGTACAGGTACATCCAGCTGACGAGTTCCAAATAAGAGGAAATGTTAGTCATAGATTTCATTTGTTGGCCACCATCCATCTCTGCTTACAACGTAGTAATAGTAGCGTCATAATTTAAAACACAAAGTTACAGTTGATTTTGATTCTTGTTAATGGTAGGCTTAATATTGAACATTGAAATAGTTTTAGATTATTAGAATGAATAGAACGCTAATCGACAGATGAACGTAATGATACTAATTCAGGAAGTAGTAACTACTTTTACAACCGGATAATTAACTCATAATCGCAAATGAACTGATGTTGAGGACAAGACTACTACTTAGTAGAATGAATTTTTTCCTTAATGAAATGATATACTTACACAAAAAATAATAAGTACTAAAAATCATGTGATTAGAGGTCATAAAGGGTTGGATAATGCTGATTTTGCAGGTCGTTCATTCTCCAGTCAATTAGGATGTAAATGTGTTAGGTGAAAGTTTTGTTATGTCACTTTATAGTATCCAGCTCATGAGTAACACGTGAACAACATTGGTTTTATGTCACCTAATCTCTAATTCTGTTTTTTTTTAACATTTTTAAAAATCAAAACACATGTGTGTACTTAGGCTTTCAATGCGATTGATTCAGATTTGTATGCTGGTAACATTAGTAGTCTTCATGATATGACTGGTGATGATGATAATGATACTGTCAATGATTTCACGAGTCCAGCAGTTCAGTGGTTAACTAAAGCGTTAAAATTTAATCCACAACATTTAGAAGCATGGTGTGAATTAGGTGACTCATGTTGGCGACAAGGTGATCCTTGCCAAGCTGCAGATCATTTTCGACAAGCATTAAAAATAGATGTATGTTTTATTTACTGTTCGTTAAGTTGTTTTAATATACTTTGATTTCTCATTGAAACTTATGTAGTACTGCCTAATTTTTTTAGTATGTACTGGACAATTAACTTGTTAGTATACAGTTTGATCTAAGCTATAAAACTCAACAATCTCCACAATCCACTTGCACTAATTACGCTGCCCAATAATGACTGATTTCAAGACATAATTCTCATAGTTGTAGTGAGAGGCCGTGGACAGAAGAGTTCACTTATATAGAATGTAAGGTAATTAGTCACCCATTAATTGGACTGGGAGATGAGCATTATCGTGAGTCGACTGGCGTTATGCGAGTAAACAAACCACTGGATGCCTCATTTTTCTACAGATTAAGCGATCTCCTTGAGACATCAAGGTCCAGACTTCGATTCTCAGTGGTATGTTCGTGGTTACTTTTGAAGAGAGTGTATCAACTAGGACGAGATATCCGACCGTTAATTCCTGCTTTTCAATAGCTGTCTAAGTTTAGTTCATGTTGTAAGCCATAAAATAATTTATTATTACCATGCTTTTGTCACAGTAGATTAGTAATGGTTAATGATAGTTTCATGACCGATGTTTTCTAACTACACCTTTTATCATTGAGGTTGTATCATTCACTGGGTTGTTCAATGGTTGCTTTGGGTGTTAATGATTTTCAATATGATCATAACATTTCGAGTCACAAGAATTACATTAAAAGTACTTGAATACTAGTTTAAACGATTTTTATCCCGGTTCAGTCAATAAATTGTTTAATTAATTTTTATTTTTGCTATCTCTAGCCAAAATATGTAAAGGCACTTTGTAATTTGTCAATGGTATTACGTCAACCACCTAATACTACTACTAATATTAGTGAGAATATTGATAATATATCATCACATGAATCTGATAAAACTAAATCTCTCTCCTCCTCACCATCATCGTCAGATACACCGATGAAATGCTCCATTTTTCATCAATCTGTTGATTTAGCTCATCAAGCAGTTAGTCAACAGCCTACAAATGGTTATGCATGGTCTATACTAGGCAATGCATTACTAACTTTATTTTTTAAAAGTTTTAGTTCAACTATTACACCAACCACTGTTTCATCATATGACAAAAATTCATCAATCAATAAATCTACACTGATCTCATCATCACCACAACTTATTATGACACGATGTATTGCTGCGTACGCACAAGCTGTCAAAGATCGTTCAATTGCATTAGAGCCGAACTTTCATTATAATCGTGGTTTAGCTTGGCATTATCAGGTAAGGGCAAATAGTTCTGTTGTTTTTTTCCTTGTTTTCTTTTTTCTATCAGACGATATGAGATTTTTTTCTGTCGAGTTATGCATATGTTTTAATTGAAATTGGTTTAGGATGCGTTGTCTTACCATGTATTTGTTTATTACTGGGTTGTTTGGGTAATCACAATATATGTTTGTATATGTGTGTATGTTTTGAACTGTTGAACACAATACTAGTGAATCACTAATTCAGCTCTCGATTTATCTGCCGACGTTAAAACATACATACAATATTATTATTACTAGTCTTCATGCAATAGAGCACAATTCTAACGCCCTGTATGCGATTACGTACAGTGCCGTTAAAAGTTACATTCAATTCTACTGTTAGATGACTAAAGTAAATACGGAACACAGGCTGATATTAAAACTATTATGGTTTTTCTCCTTTATCCCTAACGGTAAATTTTGATAACACGACTGTAAATATTGATTGGCTTAAGTGTAATAGAAATGTATCCTCATTATGTTCAGATGCACATTTTTTTGTCTCTATTTATGTAAAGATGTTGGTTGTTACCACATTTGAAATTGGATCCAAACTAATAACAATGTGATTGCTAGAGCTTATTGTTATTGCAAAAGCTAATCATTAGATAGATTATTGGCTTTTGTATCTATCTGTAAACAACAATAGTAACTAATTACATCATTTTGAAAGTATCAATACTATTGGATAACAGGTTTAGGGTGTAAGTGATTGGCAGTAGGGGAGGAAATGGATGGATAATTGTTTTTATACTACATATGCGAGTGTGAATAATAAATGTAAACCACAGTTGGTTTTTGGCGTTATTCCAAAACTTAAATGTGATTATTTTCTAATGGGAAAATAAAAATATATTAAAGGTAACCTTCATATTTAAAGATTAGGTGGATTAGTTCAAATTACCTTTTAAAAATGCCGGAATCCACTTTGATTTTTAGCTGGAAGCTTTACATTTAAATCACATTGATAGTAGCATACTCTACAAAGTGAAGTATCTTAAAATATGATATAATGTATTTGTAATACTCCAATAGGTAGGAAAATTGAATTTTCTTACGTTTCGTGATTTAGTGTAAGTCACTTCTTTAGAGAATCAATGAACAAATTAAATTAACCCAAGTTTAAGTATGTTGGGACGGTTTTCGAGAAGCACGACGAAGCCTTCAGAGGTTTTAAAGGAGCCGAAGGGTTTCCACCTAATCAGAACCTGATGAATATGCCCCCAAATGCCCTGGTACGGCCGAGAGTGGGGAGAGTCCGCTCTCTCTCTCTCGAAATGCTCCCACACGGCCACGCGTATATAGCATCTGCCAGGGAAGTCCTACTCACTGCATTCTCGTGGCATTACTGTTGTTTACGAAATTGAGAGGACGAAAAGCGAATGTTCGACGCTTTAACCGGGTTGGTGGACATGGAGAGTCCACCTAGGGTATTTGGAAAACCCTGATTCCAAACCAATGGTGCACATGGGCTCCAGGATCGTAAAGGAACAAATGGCGTATGAACCAACCGTTGGTCATCGGCTATCATGTGACTGCATCTTCTCACGATGCTCCACTGCCTTGTGGATCAGACCTTTAGGTCGAAGGCTCCGGGTGTGGCCCCCTAAGGAAACCACCTGCTTCGGTTTGGGCATCCGGGCAGTATCATAGCCCTCGCACATATCAACTGAGGTCTGTGTGGCGCATATGTAACTGGTTCCCGATCTATGTGACTTATGCGAGATATGCTTGTATATTGGTGTGTATTGATTAACTAAAAATTTAACATTTGTCGTGTGAAAGGATAGAATTGAGTTTGTACGTATAATAAATGTGAGATGTTAATAGAATCAGACATGGTAGCTCGGATAGATGGTCTAAGTCGGATGGATATTAAGGCCTTCTTTTTTATTGAGGAAATTGGGATTTAGCAGTATATGAAAAGCTTCAGCTATTCACCTTCATTTGTAGTTGGAAAAGCCTTTTCGTATTATTTTGATATTTTTAATATCAACTAGATGGTTATTGAAAATAGCATTCACTGCTACTACCGATATAATTTGGGGTTGTTTAATTTCTATAGGATTATTATGTCGTTTTTTTGTATATCTCAGATGTTCTTTCGCTCGGGTCAAGATTTCATATGATGGCTCTTCAATACAGAAGGGATCACAATCGACACATCGTAAAGTGTAGACACAATTTTGTGTTAGTATAAAGGGAATCTTATTCTTTACACTAACTAAAGCATTTTTAAGAGTAATATGGTTGGAAATGATGGATTGGTAAGGAATTCCTGAAAATCAAAAGTAAGATGAAGGATAAATCCACCTTCACCATTATGGTTAATTCTGAGTTCTAACACTCAAGTTCTTTAACCACTGTTCGCGGTTATATTTCGGACCCCAACTAATTGGTCTATTTTTACCGACATGGCTCACATCAACGATCAAATGACTTGTATGCCAACTAAAATCAATCTGAGATGAATACAACTTATATGGAAAATTTTCACTAAAATATTCATTTAATTGATATGTAATGTTCTCCGTTTCAATCCTCGCTTTTTTTATTCCACATTTCATAGGACTTATTTGGACAAACATTGAAATGTTGGTTACAGGCTGTTTGTTTAGATCCAGGCTGGCCTGCTCCACAATATGGTATTAAACGTATTATTAAATTTGTTATGGAGTGGCATAAATTAATGGAACAATTCCACAAAAAACAATCAATTCATGTTCACTCTACAGAAATCAAATCAGATCAAACAGAATTATCATCTAGCACATTAAAGACAAGTTCCATTAATCACAAATCATCAGTTGATAAACAACACCAACAAATGAATAATGAAGATGAGTTTATTTCACCTCTTAGTCCGTTAAAGAAATTGATGGTGACAACTGTGCTTGAAAGTAGCAATACAACGAATACGGATTCGTCTAGCAGTAATAATAATAACAATAATGATAATAATAACAGTAATAGTGTTGTCCTCGACCAATCAGATATAAGTCAAAACGTATCATCATTGAATCCCAAAGAGATGTCAGCATTAAATCGTCTACTGGGACCTTATTGTCCATTTTCTGGCAATGATAAAAATAAATCTGGATCAAATTTCCAAACAAAATGGAGTAACAGTGGTAGTAAGAAGAAAAAACACTTGAAAGCTTCTAAATATAGTAGTAAAAACAATAATAATAACGACACTTTAACCAATTCATCAAGTCCTAATGACAGTCGGTTAAATTCATTGGCTAATTCACATTGTTTACAGTTTGCTCCATTCAATAGTTTACAAGTAATTATTCAACTTATCGTTATTATTTTTAATTGGTTTTGTTAGTGTAAAACATTTTTGGCGAAAGAATACTTTATTGTGATAACCCTAAGGAGGACTCTTGTGGTGATCCTTGAAAGTGTCATCTGTTTTTAGCTAATCAGAGTGAAGGTGGTATAAGTGGATAATTTGTTACATACCAACCGAAAAGTGGGTTAGGGTCAAAGTTTACAATTTGTTCCATCTTGGTATGGGACTCCTCAGCAGTTCCATACTAGGACGAAACGGCCGTCTAGTAGTTCCAGATTTTCAAGGATGCTCTAACATTGATCGGTTCATGATCCCAATTAAAAATTGAAAACCCTCGTGCTAATTCTTAACCCGTAACTTCTAACTCTAAATCTTAATCCTAATTTGTCGTAATAATTTATAACCCTCTTCCGACCCTAATATGTGGTTGTGTGTCGGCTTACGGGTCGTCTACAAATTATAATCTCATCATAAAATTTATAATGTTATATGAGATAGCATAGTAAAAGCCAGAAAATCAATAAAAGTCATTACCTTCCTGATTTTTAACAAAACTTAAGACCAAGAAGATGTCGGAAAAAATGAGTTCAAGAATTATATATCATTTTATTTGTTTATTAGATATTTGTGTCAAATGCCGTAGCACTTAGTTTTCAGTAGATCCTGTTCGTATCTCGACATTGGACAATTAGCATTTACCGTAGGCTGAATGAACAAATATCAAGACAGTTCTACTGTATGAGGCGGAAACCTGTAGAACTACGAAAGCCATCATCCAGAAGATACAGGTGTTTACTAACTGTTATCTACGCAAAATACTTCGGATCCGTTGGCCGGACACTATTAGCAACAACCAACTGTGGAAAAGAACAAACCAGATCCCAGCGGAGGAAAAAATCAGGAAGAAGCTCTGGAAGTGGATAGGACACACATTGAGGAAAGCACCCAACTGCGTCACAAGGCAAGCTCTTACTTGGAACCTTCAAGGTGAAAGGAGGAGAGGAAGACCAAAGAACACATTACGCCGAGACATGGAGATAGACATGAGAAAAATGATTGAGAATTGGATGGAACTAGAAAAGAAGGCCCAGTAGAGAGTGGGTTGGAGAATGCTGGTCGGCGGCCTATGCTCCATTAGGAGTAACAGGCGTAAGTAAGTAAGTAAGTAGGCTGAACTGAACAAATTGCAAAAAATATTAGGACTCTTAGCAAATAACCCATTACTGTGTTTTAGACATAAATCAATAACAAAGTAGCTAATATTTTGTTATTGTGATCCATGAATATGTGATTTCAAAGCTGAGTAATTGAACACTTGCAATTCGGTTATATGAAATGATAAAAAAATAGTGATTTGCCATATTTTATGTTATGTCTCTAAAAAAATATATTCCTTTTTGGCTCAGCATCAGCACTAAGATGTATACATCTCCGTAGTTTGTCTTTATACAATATGAAACCAATTCGTGATACAACTCATTATTCATGTCACTCAGTCATACCGAATGTAGAAGCTGATACATGTATGCACCGGTTCAAGTTGTGACACCTCATCAGCATAGCAAGATGAAATTGTCAAAGCGAATCCAAGAGTAGTGTAGGTAATTGAGAAGATTAGGCATCAAGGATACGATTAGAGAATAAAATATGGATTGATAGATTAAGAAAGGATTTTTGCACAAGGTTATTTAAAAATTTAGGATTAAAAGAAAAACAAAGAATAAATGCGCCTTCTACACCATTACGAATGATTTCTAGTTATGTCAATTGAATTCTTTAATCATTGGTTGTCATCATCACGTGGATCGTAACCAAATAGTCTGTACTGACCTACATGAATCATTTCACTAGTGACTTTCTTTATGATTTGTTGCCACGTTTTGATTTGGCCTGCTTTTAACTTTCCTCCAGAATATTCCTTTACCAGTCATCATCGCGCATTGAGATGGTGATTGTGTATAAACAATACATATCACAATCATTTCAATTGATAACATCATTCGTATAATTTAAATACGTTCAATATTTTGTTTATTTTAGTTAGATTAATTTTTATTAAAAAGAACCACTTGCTTGTTTCGTTTTGCTTCTTTAGGTAGGATTCAACAAGAACACTGTATGCATTGGACGTGTATTTGCTGAATTACCTAATGATTCTGATTTAGCATTAAATTTACTTTTAATCGATCCATATGGTACCCCATTTGCTGTACGATTGTATAATGTTGGAAAAGTTAGTTTTTTTTTTAAGATAAAGGAATAATTAATAATACAAACGATGATTAAAGTTGGATTGTGGTAGCTAACACTGGAATTCAATATACATTTAATCCAGTCAGTCAGCTACAACATAGGACCAAGCACATATATGCATCGGTCCAAGTTGCCATACCTCATTAGTACAACAAGATGAACACCGAATTCATAGGAGTAGTCACATCGATGGTAGTAATGTGTAGAAGAAAGAATTAGTTAATAGAAAGATATAAAGCAATTTTAATCTCACAGTTTAAGGGAAGACAGAGAGTGTATACACATCCGCCATTGTGGTCGATTCTGAGCCATGTCACCCACAGTCTCCATTCATTGTTACCATAGTCACGCGGACCCCAACCAATTAGTGTGCATCTACCTACATGGCTAAGACTAGAAGTTAGTGACTCCAAGCACTGATGCCATGTTTTGGTTTAGCCGCCCCTAACTATCTTCCAACCATCCCAAACATTAGTGAGCATTGCGCGTCGTGGTAATCGGTGTTCAGGTATACGTATTTCCTGTTATCTAGAATTCATCAGTTGGATTGTATTTGTATCTCACTATGTTTATGTTCACATTGAAACTTAAACCCAGTACTTTTTTGCTTCGAACACTGACGTGTTATCCACTGAACTATTGAGTCTAACTGGTATGAATTCTATTTGTAGGGGATTTTTGTTTGTGACCAGAAATGGCAATATCGAGACAATCTTCTTATGCTCTACACATGTCACTACAGACTGAACAGATACAAAAATAGAACAATTGACCAACTGACTCAATCATACATCATTAAAATAGAACCAAATTTGTCTTAAGAACTGTTGGTGGTTGTTAGTTTCCGCTCGTCCACACTGGATGCCTACTTTCTGAAGTACCTAAAAGCGAAACTAGGTTTGGAAAGGTCTTATGGATCCGTAAATATGGCTCCAGTGTCAATCGAAAACGACTTAAAGCTTTTTACACTCGTTTTTTGCCAGTAGTTTAAAATGTGTTGGCTCAGGACAGGAAACCGTGGGGCAATGTTAGGTGTGTTGCTTTTAAGTCTGACCTTTTCTGACCCTAATTCCCTTAAGAGAAGGTAGCTTCTCTTCAGATGTTGGTTATTTATGGGAAAAATGGTACTGCTTTTGCTCTTTAAAGTACAGTCAATAGTATGACTACGCTTTCATGCTTAAGATCTGTTATTTTTTGGTCTTACGGTTCTGCAGCCTACCTGATTGGAGTTGTACGCTCCTAAAGGAAAAATTGTTACAGTCAATGTGGCTCAAATAGATCATCTTAACATGAAAGCTTGATCGTCACATTTAGTTTTTAATTATGGTAGCAGAAACAAAGTTAACACAACTTTTAACTATTTGTTATAGAACAGATGTTTTGTTGAAGTTGAAAAATGAACACTTCATCAAGCAGTCAGTTTTCGGTGTTTAGTTGTGTTTTGTAAAAACTAGATAGCTTCGTTGTGAAACGCTCGTAATTCTGAATAAAAACCATTGTCTCTTCCAATCAGAAGTGAACTGTTTGATTTTTCCATAATCGTTAAATAAGTCCGTTTAGATGACCCTGTTTATGACTAAAAGCAGTGTTCAATCAACCCCCAAATGCCCTGGTACGGCCGAGAGTGAGAAGAGTCCGCCCTCCCTCTCGAAATGCTCTCACACAGCCACACGTATATAGCCTCTGCCAGGGAAGTCCTACTCATTGCATTCTCGTGGCAGGGGTGTTGTTTACGAAATTGAGAGGACGAAAAGCGAACGTCCGGCGCTTCAACCGGGTTGGTGGACATGGAGAGTCCACCTAGGGGGGTTGGAAAACCCTGATTCCAAACCAATGGTGCACATGAGCTCCAGGATCGTAAAGGAACAAATGGCGTATGAACCAATCGTTGGTCACCGGCTATTATGGGACTGCATCTCCTTACGTTGGTCCACTGCCTTGTGGATCAGTTCTTCAGGTCGAAAGTTCCGGGTGTGTCCCCCTAAGAAAACCACCTGCTTCGGTTTGGGCACCCGGGTAGTATCATAGCCCTCACACATATCAACTGAGATCTGTGTGGCGCATATGTATTTGGTGCCTCCTCTTACCAATATCTATGTGTTAAAATAAATAAATAAGTTAGTTACGGCCCAAAGGAACATATAACTGACAAAAGTATTTATCTAAACTACGTGTTTTCTCTCTATCCTGAAATTGGTTGTTGAATAACATTTATATTCATATTGAATAAAATTCCAACCATCCAATGTTTTACACCCTGCTTTTCCCCTCTGCAATTTTAATTTCAGGGTGTTGGACCAACTCGGAAAGACATCATTGCTATACCTCACCCGTTTGTTGAAGAAATTTTAATCGAAGGCTTTGTATTACATGCATGTCTAAATGCATTGTCAATTTTAGACAATCAATATCTATGTGATATGATAGAGAAGTTTTCATACCTTCGTACATCTACGGCGTCGACTATTACTACTACCACTACTACTGACAACGAATTAAGTAGTAGTGGTGGTAGCAATGTTAACTGTACAAAGTCTGAATCGAATGCTCAATCTTCTAATGAACCTACTATTAATCTTCCTAATCAATTAATGAATCTTCATATGCGCATCATACGTGTTCCATTGCCAAATTTTCTTGTAGTTAATGGTCAAACAGTTGGATCTAGTTGGACGGCTGCACCCGTTTTAAAAAATATTTTTTTTACTTGAATAAGATTAATAGTATGTATCGGTCTCGTTTATTGCTGATTACTTTTCTGGATCTATTGCTTAACTGTATTGTTTTTTTTATTTTGTCAAACCTTTCACTCTGAATTGATCGTTTTCACATGAGTTGACCATAGTGTGAATGTGTGTGTGTGTGTACATATTAATATACATGGTAGATTAGTGACAGCTTTAAACTTAAGTTTTCTGTTCATATATGCTCATAAGTGTGATATATAGGTGCTACTTGAAATAAATCATGTTTAATTCCACAGTTTATTGTCTTATCCAACCAGTTAGTTACAATTCATCGATCATTAGGTGGTAATCAATGTCATGTGTGTCAAGTCCTTCTTAGTGCAGATCGAATGCCATCGACCAAGTTGAGATGTGGCCACTAGTCAAGGTGACTCGACATTACGTACACTATGTTGAGATAAGATGGTGGTTGGAGGTAGTCAACAGGAAACCCTTGGCCCGAGTTTCGTGCTACTTGGCACTCGTCAGCAAGGTGCACCTGTAATCTTGAGGACTGGTGCTCCCTGACGGATTCGGCCCCGTGTCACCCAGCTTCACAGTCAGAGACGTTACCACCGAGCTATCTGGGCCGCACCCACCCCGCTGTAAGACTGAGATGTAATCACAATTGATAGATCACTGGGTGGTGATCAGTATCATGTATGTCAAGTCTTTCTTAGTTAGTTATTGTGGCTTTTTTCTTCTACAGATTTATTAAGTATCGCAATGGTCGGGATTTTTTACTCCATTTACCTGTATATAATGGTTCGTGATTAATAAACAACTTTGGGCGTCTATATATCTCATTATGTATTAGTTACTAATTTGTGATGAATATAAATGGTGGCTTATTGATATAGAATATTTAAAATCCTGTCCAATGAGTCATTAACCTTAGTAAATACATCAGAATAGCATTAATTAGACGTCATGCGAATGTTGTCTCCAATACCATAGTTTAGTAAGTATAGTTTTAACTATATACTAATACGGGGTGACGCTGCTAAATACCAACATTGTAGGTTGTTTACATTTTAATTAGAAATTTTTGTTTCTAATTCACATTTCGATGAATGTTGCTATATATGGTCTGTATAGTTTTATTGATCAGTTTAATTCACTGTCGGATCATTTATAATGTATTATCCAACCATTTTTATTTATAAATTACGTTTGATTGGAGATGTATATACAAGAGTGCTTTATTGTTTGACGATAATTATCCACCGCCACAAGCCAATTGTTATTTTCTGAGACTCCTGCGCTCGTTTCAATAAGATTTAAGGTATTGAAATAGTGAGAGAAATCATCTTCGTTGTTCAGTGCAATTTGTTCTATGTTATCGTGTCACTTGTCTTGGTCATATCATACACGTAGTGATTGGTTGGTTTGTGGTTCTGTTAATATGTTATGTTCTATTATCGTTCAGTTCAGATACAAAAACGCATTCTATACGCTTACTCACCTTTTTAGGTAAGTGAGAAGACTGAGAAATAACTAGGAAACTGTAGTCGGCAAATGAAATAAAATTTATATAAACCGTCGGTATACATCTCTTTTTCTCATAAATACATGGACATGTTGACTGAAACCTTGGACCAGGTGCATAATCTGCTTCATCCAATAGCGCTCCAGGTTTGTATCCCCCCACTTACCTTTTGACCTTGATATGGCATGTGAACACAGGCAGATACTCATAAGGCTTATTATTATGCAAATTAAAACTAAGCTGACTATCTGTTTGATCTGACTGTTTAAAGTTAAGGTTGCCCAATAACAACTATTGTTTACCCATAAAAATACACGTATTCGATCATTGAGTTTTGCTTCTACTATTTTTAGTATTTTTCCTGTATTTTGTGCCGACTACAGTGATATATTAGGAATAATTATTTAAGAGTTAAATTTTGTAAACAAAGTGGGAATTATCAGTATAGGGGTTGTGGAGATTATTAAGTTTCTAATTGGGATCATGAACTGATTGATGTTAGACAACCATTGAAAACCTGGAAGCACTGGACTGCCGTTTCGTCCCATTGTGGGACTCCTCAGCAGTGCGCACCCGCAATCCCGCTCGGGAGATTCGAACCCAGGCCTTTCTGTCACGCGCGCGAACGCTTAACCTACTGGATCACTGAATCGACATCCAATGGTGTTAATGTCTAACCCCAACCAATCTACGAAATCGCACGGCCATCTTTCATTGTACTGAGGTAGATACCTGTCTCTGCCCGACACGGATTAGCTCCACTGGTCATGGCTTTGTTGGGAAGTGTACTATTTTTTCCTCAAATAAACCTTTTATTGAAAGACTGTAACTCGATAATTTAGCTGTTCCAATACCTATTACGATTAGGTATATCTCGGTATTATTTGTATTTATCTTCGTGGTGTAAATGTATTTAACCGATGAACTAAAATAATGACTAAAGACCTGAGGTGAAATGGTTTGTAAATCGATCCCAGTCTTCACTGATATGTCTCATTCTCTAATTTCGCTCTTTCTTCGAAATTATATATATATTACTATAGCACACTTGGTATGCGGTTATCTATAGAATATGGAACTCTCGTTTAGTTCTATTCGGCACAAGTCGGCTAAATATCACTGTATCTCACTGTTGATGTTCACTTAGGGACTTGAATTCAACCAGTTATAAGCAACGTAAAAACTGGGCACATATATACATTGGTTAACTTTTTGATGCAGTTTTGTTCTCTGAGCTGGATGGTTTGGTCGTTCTTTTGAACGACATCATCAGCACAAACTTCAGATTAACATTTTCACACCAATTATCAGCACAATTTGATAAAATTATCAATAAAAATGTTTTATTCTACCGTGATATTCCAACTATCATCAAAAGCATGAGTAAGGTGATTATGTCATTTTTTTGGTAAAGTAACAGGTTCTATTTTGAATTGTTAGTTACATAGCCCATTATTTGTGGGACAATACTGATACAGTGAGCAAACTAAACAAGTCATGTGATATGCTAAGGACTCATGTGATGTCAAATACAATCGTGGATACGTTGTGGTGAGGAGATGATCTATCCATTTAGTCACAAGCTGCTCTTAGAGGTTCCTATGGAAATCAGTTTGTTTACTATTAAGTATCTATGTCTATTTGATAATAGTGTCCTGGATAGCTTTTGTACTTTTACTGTGTACGGTTGGACTAATCAGATGTTAGAGTGTGAATAGTTGCTTAACTAAATTACAAACAGTGATAATAGCCTCTTTTCATTCTATATACAATTGAAATTATTAAAATTAAAGCTCTCCATACATATCAAACTAACAGTAGGGCGATTTTATCAAATAACGTCTTCCTAGGATTAGTCACTTTGTAGCTTTTAATAACTAACATTTAATCCAACCAGTATAAAGCTTGGGAGTAAACGAAGGTGTTAAGTTTATGGTAATTCTTTAAAGCCCCTTATTAATATTTGTGATTTTTTTTCCCAACAAATTCCTTAACATAATGGAATTCCCCTCGTAATGTATTTTGAGGGTCTGAGTAATGTTTTTATTTCTTCTGGAAGATTACTGAAATCTTTGCTTGACAGGACTTTAATATCTAATTCCTCGAACCCCTTTAGTGTTTCCCTTGAATGGAGTAAAACCTAAATGGAAACATATCTCTACCCTGTAAAGTTCGTCGAGCATGGATTGACATTTTTATCTCAATAGGTAAAATTAGTTTCCTAGAGAATAATTTTTTGGAGGATAGGTTTAAGATCTAGCTTTTGGTACATCTTTGAAGTTAGGTAGAAATACACACCATTGCTTCTATACAAGATCAGAATAATTTAATTTTATGTCATGACTAATCGATTCAAATGTAACAGTTGGATTAGTTCTGTTAACTTTCATCATCAACGTTCCAAGTTCTTACCGGTTCGTCAAAATGCATAATATACAACCTCATAAATTGACTGGAATCGCCTTTCGAATAAATCCACCTAATAAAACGTGAACAGATTTCCAATTTAGATAAACTTACATCCATTAATAATTACTTCAACTAATCGATAATGTTCAGCTCCAAATCATCTGTTGATTACCATTGCCAATATTATATCATAATACATTGAAAGGTTGTGTTTCACAAAATTAAGTTTTCACTTTTACAAACTAGAAAAACATTGGATTGAAAGGAAGTACTGAAAATTACAGTTCTGTTATTGAGATTACTATTCCAAGTTTCTTCGAAAGAACTACAAATGACGATTATTCGTAAAGTTTCTTGGTAAGAAAAACCGTTACGTGATATAGGTAGAAGAAGATAAATGATAGGTAGAAGATAAATGTCATATACGAAGTGATTTAAGCAGAAGTACGAGCGAAATGGAAATTTAAATGATATCAGATTCGAACACTGTGGGGAAGAACAAACCAGATTCCAGCGGAGGAAGAAGCTCTGGAAGTGGATAGGATACACATTGAGGAAAGCACTCAACTGCGTCACAAGACAAGCTCTCACATGGAATCCTCAAGGCCAAAGGAAAAAAGGAAGACCAAAGAACACATTACGCCGGGAAATGGAGATAGATATGAGAAAAATGATTGAGAATTGGATAGAACTAGAAAAGAAGGCCCAGAGGAGAGTGGGTTGTAGAATGGTGGTTGGTGGCCTATGCTCGATTGGGAGTAACAGGCGTAAGTAAGTAGGATTCGAACACAGAATAAAACTATGTTAATTTGCTAACTATGAATTTGAATAGTTTTAAATATTGATATCCATAATTTGTTAAGTAATAAGGCTGGAATAAAAGTGATTACCTAATAGGTAATAGTAATGGACAATGACTAGGCCGTTACATCACATATCGATTAAAATTAGAATATATGTTTTTGTTATGCCGGAAAAACAAAAGCGCTGATCACTTATACTCGTGACGAGGGACCTCGGCAATTCCCACGATGCGAAAGTAAGAATACAATATTGGCATAAATGAAGATTTATTAGCCCAAAAACA